ACCGTGGAACGGGAATGGACGTCCGAGCCGGAGCTACGCTCCCATACGCCACCAGGACAGAGCCAGGAGAAGGACTCCTGGATGTCCATGTCGGAGGTTCACACTGACAGACGATCAAGGAGCATCTAGAGATGCAGACATCAGGTTATCCCAGAACAACCGCGGCCCAATCAGACCTTTAAAGGTTCTACCTGAGCAGGAGATCCACAGACGCTAATATTAACGAGTCTTTCACCAACTGCTATTGATTTTAATATTTAGTAAATTAGCCAAAAAGGAGCGTCACCTGGAAAAGCAGGATTATTGGTGCCGAGCTCCAAAAAAAACAGGATTCCTACATTTTAAAGTTAAATTCAAGACATTTTAAGATCTAAATCCACCTGAAATAAAAAGTTAAGACCAACTTCAACATAAATACAGGAAAAAAACCTGGTAGTAAGAAATCTACCCAAATGTTTAAATTTAAACCATCACTTTCTGGCTCAGTAGAAATGATTCAAATATTGAAAAAGGAAGAAAGCTAAAATAAATAACTAACTGTGCTGTGATCCCATCGTTCCTCATCTACATTCCCTGGTCCTGCTTTTAGCGGCGCAACAAACTCTGGATACAGTTTTCCTTCCATTTCTCCACGTTGTCCTGATGTTAAGTTAGCGCCGCATCGCCTACGGTCCGACAGCAACGTCGTTTTTACTGGTTCTAGCGAATCGCTCAGTAAACGAAAAAATAAAAATCATCAATTATTCTATCGTTTGATTCGGATTACAAAAATAAAATCCTATTTATGAGGTGGAAATGATTTTAAGACCAACGAGACATTTTACTTCCAATTAGTTTCCTATTGAGGAATTAAATGCATTTTAAGGAACCCAAATTTCACAGTTTTATTTTTCCCCACACACTTTGAATGCATCATAAACTGTCCACCAAACAGAATAATTTTCTCGCACTATACAGCAACCGCTGAATGAAATATGGCGACAGCAGCGGTCTGGATTTCACTCCAAGGATGTCAAACAAAAAGCGCTAATTTCTAAGACGTGCCACAAAAATTGCAGCAAAAGGAAGCAGAAAAATAAATTCACTTTCTAAAAACTGAAAACAAAGAATGTTGTAAACTCTGCACATCAGGGAAATCAGACGCTATTTCAATGTTTTGTTATTTTAGATGCTCCAATACCTGTGATGTGTTGCTTTAAAGGTTCTACAGGCGTTTTCTAAACAGAAAGAGGCCAAACAAAGTGGTGAGAAAGGCTGTTTCTGTCCTAGGCTGCAATCAGCGGCTGAGAGGAGGGAGCTGTCCAAGCTTCCATCCATCATGGACGCCACCTTCCATCCTCTGCAGCAGACTGGAGAGGAGCTGAGCCGCTCCTTTAGCCAAAAACTTTTACAGGCTGGTTGGAAAAAGGAGCTACTGCAGGTCATTCATCCTGCTGCCACCAGACAATGAGACACTATAACTGCTGCAATGGAGAATAATTACTATTTAATACCTGAGCAATAACCTGTTTCTCTATATCTGAGAAAAAAAAAAAAAGCTGTCATATGTGGACACACTGTATTTATTAGGGGTGGAACGGTTCAAAATCCACGGTTTTCGGTTCGGTATATGCCGATCAATACCCCCAAATCCCATAAAAATTTATCAAATTAATGAAAGAATCCCAAAAAATGAATGAATTGTAATTATTTTTAATGAAACCCTGGATCATTTCCGCATGTTTTGCTGCTTTGAATTTAATCATCTGGCGCATGCTCTCTACCATCTCCAAGG